GTCTCACACCCAAAAACAACGTCATAGAAGGCTGATCATCTTACCTATTAAGAAAATGACGAAGCAAATTTGACGGCTCATTGGTCTAGTGGCTAGTACCCCTGACTGCGAATCCATGGGTCCCTGGTTCGATCCCCGGCTGAGACAAACATCGATGTGATGAGCATTTGGTGTTGTGCTTAGGTCTTGGGTGTTTAAATATGTATTTATATGTCTAACTATCTATAATATGTATGTATATCCATTGCCTAGTACCCATAACACAAGCTTCACCAGCTTAACATACTGGCTAGGTCAATTGGCGTGAGTTGTCCAAAAAAAAATACAGAAATTTAAGATGCTCCGTTTAAGATCTTTCAAGAAGAAGTGGCAGTGAAGGAAAGGAGCAGGCTTCCGGCAGTGTCCATGGGTATCACGTAACATCAGATGAGCCTCCTGCCCCCTGTTCAGCCTCCTGTTCTATAAAAAAAAAATATCCAGCTCCGGATAAGTAATGTTTAATCCTTTATAATCGCGAAGAATTCGAATGACAGGTGCCAAAACTATTAGGTTGGTTTTTGCAGATGGAAAACTTTTTCTTACATTTAATTGGTTGTTTATATTTAATAATTCAGGTATATTCACCTGAAAGAACAAATGTCAGCCATTTTTACGCAGCCTACATGTTGGAAAAATTAATTTCGCAAAGCAAAGCGTGACTAATCAGTCACCACAGACAACAAAGACAAATATAAAGCTACTCTTTATTAAAATTCTCACTGCTTAAATCTACCCCCGTATAAACAAACTAGGGTCTAGGACCCAGATTTCTGTATCTGTTTCATGATCATTTGTCAATCTTATAGCCAAGTAGGTGATCAGCCTCCTGTGCCTGACACATGTCGACTTTTTAGGTCTAAACCAAGCCGGTTTATACCGACACCGTTCGAAGTTAAATGCGCACATAGAAACTCCATTGTGCACAGCCGGGAATCGAACTTACGACCACACTCATGAGAGACTCATGCTGAAGCCACTAGGCCAACACTGCTCTTGCATAGTCAATTTAAAATTCAGTTCAATGGATGCTGGATTTAAGTTTTAACACCTGTAACTTCCAGTAAATTCCAATCTCTATTGATTGACAGGATGTGGTACGGCAGCAGCCGTACCTGACACTCTGGTCGTGTTGGACATCCTTTTCATTGGAGTAAAAAAATAAAATATGTTTATTATGGAACATAAGATAAATAGTATTGTCTTTGATTAACATAACTTTTATTCATTTAATAAAACACTATTTTGACCGGATTGAAGTTACCGTGACCACGCACGCTGTAAAGCACGCGAAACGTCGGATAAATTTAAAATTATGTTAAATAGTTGTAAATTTATAATAATACATAACTTCAATCCGGTCAAAATAGTGTTTTATTAAATAAGATACATGTATCACTTATTCCACGTTATTAAGTTTGAATTTGTAGGCATCCCTACTCATCGGCAAAGAAGACAGAGGGTGTAGGCCGAGAGAAATAGCCGGCGTAAAAAACTCTTTTAAAATAGCAAATCATCAAACAACACTTATTTAGTAGTTTTATTTATCAATTTATTTATTTCGCACTCGTATAGCTAATATTTAATCTATTATATAATAAATAAAATACCAATTATATATACTAAATATATAGCCAAGATGGAATGCCTAATATAAACAAAAAGGTTCAAACATTACACAAGGTAAAAAACAATAAAAATTATTCAATAAATTTAACTAAGTACCTAATTTGGCTGTGTTTTGTGATTGTGTAAAAGTGAGAGTATGTATGTGAAGGTGTGTATGTGGGTATGCTCATGATGCAGGTGATTTTGCGCTATGGATATTCGGAATACTCCTTTTAAGCATATTGCGCGATATAAGCCATGACTGGCTTAAATATGGGTCGTTCTAAGTCCGGGTTTTGCATAGTTAGTGTTGATGTTAGGAACGTGAAAAAAAGCACGATTACGAGTCTGGTAGGAACAAAAAAGGGCAATTTTTCTAGAAGTAAGTTGCGATCCATTTTATTTGAGATGAGGTCGTGTAATAGCAATAAATCGTATTGTTTTCGTCGAGAGTCTAAAGTTGATAGTTATCTTGAGATCTTTTTTGCTTTTGAGGTTGAGGTACACGAGAGGTAAAAAGAACATAATAATATTATTGTGTGTATTTACAGTTTTTTATTATGAATAAATAGCCTATGTGACTGCGCTGACACGTATCTGAAAGCATATTATTTTATTACTACCAGACGTATTATTTTATTATTTTATAAAGAATTAAACGTTCAAGATTTATTTAATTCCTATAAATCCGTCATTAAATAATGTATACGATTTTTTTTAAAGGCACACTAACGAAACATACATACACTTATAGAGAACACACAATAATAGACACAACGTTTAAAGGAAAACATTACGATTATAAAAGAGAAAAAACTTCACTTCACTTCACTCCAACTTCCATTTAGTTCCCTTTGGATTCTTTGATCGTGGGTTTCAAGTGCACAGGCGCTAATTTAAGATTTAAGTTGGCGCCTGGTAGATAGTACCGGTGACACCAGATCTGGTGCTTTCCTCAACGAATAAGTATCCCAATACAGCGAGGAAATGCTGCCAGCCTTAACGACACGGCCACAGGGACCAAACTATTTAAAATTTGTTTAATTTTATTTTTATTCATTATTATTATTGTTATTATTACTATGTAGATTAAGAAAATTATAAATACTGTATATCTGTTTAATTAAAATAAAAATGTATCGATTAAGAAATACAAATATTAAATCAATTACGTAATTTAATGTATTTCCTCTTTGCAATTGTTTTTGGTGACGCAATAATTATATAATTTAATGAATACTTACTTGTAATGTATTGATTTCGCATTTTATGCGTAAAAATTTTTTTTTAGATAATATTAATTGTTATTGTTGTATCTAGTTTAACTCAAAGTTTTATTTTCAACACACAAATATACAGTATTAACAATATTCTTAATCTATGTAGGTAATAATAATAAAAAACTTACATATAAAAAATTTAAACAAATTTAAAAAGTATGGTGTGTTACATATACCTTTAATATAATTTATACTAGCTGACCGGGAAAACGTCGTTTTGCCATGTATATCATTTATAATAAAAAAAATAGGGGTTGATCGTAGAAGGGTGAAAGTTAGGGGTTGTATGTATTTTTTAGTGCTGTATCAAAAATAGAAAAAAATATCTAAAAATAAAAATAAAATATTTAGGGGTGGACTACCCTTAACATTTAGGGGGATGAAAAATAGATGTTGTCCGATTCTCAGACATACCCAATATGCACACAAAATTTCATAAGAATCGGTTTAGCCGTTTCGGAGGAGTTTAACCACAAACACCGCGACACGAGAATTTTATATATTATATTTATATTTATATAAAATATATTATATAATTCTTAGGTGACAGTTCTTGAAGATGAAGAATAAAATAGGTTTTTTCCAATTAAAAACTTTTGTATTGCGACAGGCGTTTAAGTTTCAATAAAATTAAAGTTGAATATTTTTTAGAATCAATTCTTGCATTAGTATATTACATAAAAGGCCGGCAACACACTTGCAAACCCTGTGGCAATGTGTCTATGGGCCAGCGTTTTATATAAAAAAAATCTTTTGTATAGATAGTATTTTTTAATTGACGTCAAAAATACTAAAGAGGGTAGGTTTAAAATTTTATGTTATCTCCGTCCTGTTACCGACCTATCGTTTTCAAGATATTATTTCAATTTTATACGTTGTACATTTTACGTTTTGGATGATGAAGTCAGTTGGAAGGTGGGTGGTCCTTTATGTACTTGGACCAAATACTAGGTACTTGATAAGAAACAAGTCAGAGGTACCCATAACCCACGTGCATGGTGAAAGTAAGCGAGAGAGAGATAGGGAAGAGAGTAGAAGGTGGAGATCCGTGAACTCTGGGGTAGACTTCGGGAAAAAAATATAAATAAATAAATTGACCGACCCGACAAACGTTGTTTTGCCATGTATATTATTTCTAAGAAACATTGTTTTAGTTCAATAAAAATAACTTAACTGCTATAATAAAAAATAGGGGTTGATCGTAGGGGTGTACATTAACAAAAATAAAAACATAAAAATTGTCTAAAAATAAATATAAAATTTTTTTGGGTGGACACCCCTCATCACTTAGAGGTGTGAAAGATAGATAGTAGCCGATTCTCAGACTTACTGAAGATGCATAAAATATTTCATAAGAATCGGTCGAGCCGTTTCGGAGGAGTATGGGTACGAATATAGTGACACGACAATTTTATATATTAGATTTACATACATTTATATTAATTATTAATTTAAAAGTTTAACTACTCAACAGTACCCATGAGCGAGGAGCATGCATGGTGAATATCATGTTACTAGATAGACTCTCATACCTGAGGTCGTAGGTTCGATCCCCAGCTGTGTACCAATGGACTTTCTTTCTATGTGCGTGTGAACATTTGCTCGAACGGTGAAGGAAAACATCGTGAGGAAACCGACATGTCTTAGACCCAAAAAGTCGACGGCGTGTGTCAGGAGTCACTGGAGGCTGATCACCTACTTGCTTATCAGATTTAAAAATGATCATGAAATCTGAGGCCAAGACCTAAAGAGGTTGTAGCGCCACTGATTTATTTTTTGATAATTTTGTTAAAAAGGAATTTTATTAAAGAGATTTTGTATGTAAAATGTAAAAGACGAGGTCAGGAAAGCTTTAGTAATGACAGTGCTATTAACGGTGGCGCCGTCTTCATATAAACTCACGACAGCGGCGCGCGCGCACAGTGGAAGGCTCGGTTCGGTCGTGTCGTACGTTGCGTTTGCGGTCCGCGATCCGGCCCTAGCGCCGCGGTTATCAATTTAAAAATTAAAATATGTTCTTTTTGTAAATTCTCTATATTGTTTTATTGTTTGCAATTGTTTTAAACGTGAAAGACAATGGTTAGTGGAAACAAAAGTCCGAACGATCCGACGAAGGTGCCGCCGAAGAATCGAGAAAAGAAAAGCAACAATTATATTAGGGCTAATCTAATATCGAAGACATGGTTCGTGTGGATGATGCCCACGTTCTGGAGAGGGTATAAACGGGACCTGTATGACGCGGACCTCACTAGGCCAAAGGAAAATCACCATTCGGACAAATTGGGTGATCGACTCGAGAAGTAAGTACCATTTGGATGTTAAGTGACCTTACACAAGGCAATGTAAATATTGATAAAATATATTGTGACATGTTTTTCGACGAATTTCAGCTTTGTTAAGGAAAAGTAATACGTTATTTTTTAATATATATTTGATACCTACCTACACAATTTTACTATTAAATGATTATCATTAAATTTCAATTTATAATATTCTGTCGGTACAAATATATGTTAAAATAGTTCACTTATAAATTTTCTTTTTTGTATTAAAATACTCTAAACATATTCGACACAAAGTAACACATAATTAAGACCCTCAATGTGTCTCAAATGTGTATTAGACATAAAGACTTGACTAGGCATTTCTGCGAACTTTGGAATCGAACAGTGGATGCATTCCCGGGAATATCCGACCTCGAATTGATTATTAGTATTTAATTATTTATTCCTCCTACAAAGGCCGTCAACCCACTAGAATGGGTGTGATTTACTGGCGTCCCTTAGGCCCCTATCCTATAAAAAATAGTGAAAATATGATACTAGGATATATATATTTAGTTACATTACAAAAACACAAACAATTAATTTTTGTTTAATTGTTTTATTGAGCTAAAAAATGTTACAATATATTGTGACATGTTTTTCGACGAATTTGCGCCGTTGTTTAGGAAGTATACGTTATTTTTCATAATTTATTTGATACTAGTACAGCATTCACTATTAAATGATAATGATTAAATTTCGAAAAAAAAATTAAATTATTAAGGTTTTTTTTTTATACATTATTCTTATACATTCATACATATCGTCTGGAAGATACCGCTCATTATGGATCAGGCATTGCGTTTATAATGTTTATATAAGATTTGACGAATGGAACACACTGATACTTTTACTTTATAATTTATAACATTTTATTCAGAGTGGGTGCTTCACTTTCGATAAAATGGCGCTTGCCGTCTGATTTTCAATTCTCTAAAGGCATTATTCGTAAATGGGAAATAAATTTGTCTACATAAATGTTTTTCGTCTGTCTGTGTGTGTAAAATACATGCTTATAAACGACTTTTATAATATATTTTAAATATAGTAGATACTATAGGACATCATACACGTCTTAAATAAAAAAAAAATCTAGTCGATTTAAACATTCATCAAAATTAGCCAAGTTTAAAAAATGCACGCACATATACACATAAATAACATACTAGCTGACCCGGAAAACGTTGTTTTGCCATGTATATTATTTCTCGGAAACATTGTTTAGTTCAATAAAAATATCTAACTACTATAATAAAAAGGGGTTAATCGTAGAGGGGTAAAAATTTAGGGTTGTATGTACTTTTTAATGCCACGTAATAAAAAATAATTTTAAAAAAATATATAATTTTTGGGTGGACACCCCTTATAACTTAGGGGTTTGAAAGATAGAAGCCGATTCTCAGTCTTACTGAGTATGCATAAATAATTTCAGAAGAATCGGTTGAGCCGTTTCGGAGGAGTATGGGAACGAACATTGTAACACGAGAATTTTATATAAAGTGATTATTTTTAATTCAATTGAAATTAATCGCTGGAATTAAAAAAAAATTCATTTCATCAAAAATTTTCTTGATATTATTTATCAGTGTTAATTAGCTTCTGTGAATTTATTACAGTCCTCGAATATGTAAACACCTTGAAACTTAACACTTGCTTACAAAATATGCTAATATGTTGTACATTCCCCTTTTATGTATATGTATAATGTATATATATATATATATATATGTAGTGTTTACTCACTCCACACTTAGACGCCCATTTGGCTTATTAGCCAGTTTAGCTCCTTCTAGAAGTTCGACATCACTGCTCCTGAATTTCTATTCGGTGGAAAGCCACAGCATTTCAGGACTACGTGTGTACTTATGTACACGCGTTAGAAGTTATACTTCTTTGGCGTAACAAGATAAAAATCTTTTTAAATTTTTTATCTTTCGCCTTATTCTACGTTTGTAGAAAAAACGACACTAACAATAGAAAAAAGGTATTTAATACATTGAAAGTTTTATTACAACGCAGTATCTAGCTAAATAAAGTTTATTTAAATATCAATAACAATAATCATAAAAAAATAAATAGAGAAGTAGCACCTAACTTTTGAAATTTGTTTTTCTGATAATTTGATTTTGTTTTTATTAATTTTTAATCATTTTTATCATTATGTAGGTTAAGAAAATGGTAAATACTGTATATTTGATTGTTATGAATACTCAATAATTATATCGTAATAGCGGATCCGGCCTAACTACACTTTTAAAATAAATAAAAAACTAATATTAATTTGGTTCCTCTTGGAGTGGAGACCGTCGGGTTCAAGTGCATAATGATTAAAGGTCTAAGTTGGCGCCTGGATAGTACTGGTGACCTTAGCTGGTGCTTTTCAGAGATATATTTGCGTAAATCCATAGACCAAACTGATTGCAAACCGAGCAGCTTTAGCGCGCTCTCATCTCTGGGGTCTAAGGTTCGATACCCGGCTGTGCACCAATGGACTTTTATGTGCGCATTTAACACTCGCTCGTACGGCAAAGGAAAACTTGCCCATTAGAAATGAACAGAACAGATGCAGAAATCTGAAGCCTTTCGGCTACATAAAGGCGTAATAATCTTTTAATATCCGTTTAAGTAATCGTTCTTAATGAACAACTCTGAGTACGCGTTAATAATGTTTACAATAATGTATTTGTACGTGGCTTATTAATATCTCATTAGCATATTTGCTTCGTAGAAAAATTCTTAAGAAGGCACTAGTCAAGGTTGCCTACTATGTATTTTTTTGTAGTGCTCGTACGTAGACTAGAAGTTAAGTCTTAGAGAGACATTGTTATTATTAATTTATTAATTTACTATTATATAATTTAAATAATAAATAAATTGCGTGTTCCCACGAGAATGTAAGTGCGTGCTCCTATTTCACCGTGCCTACTGATGATAGAAGACAAATCTTTGTTTTTAATTTATTTTATTATTTATTACTTAAGATGTCATGTTGAACATGGTGTAATGGTTGCAGCTCCTTACAAACGTTGTGTATACCAAAAAACTTGGCGATTAAAAGAGTGACGGAGAGTTTATTGCCGGTTCTTCTCTTCCGTACGCCCTGAGAACTGGCAGTAAATGTAAAATTAGAAGCATTTCATATATATTTCTTTTGGCGTTCATAAGTGTTACTAAAACGAATAAATGATTTTGATTTTTTTGAGTTGTCCGAGTATTGTGTAATAATATCGTTAATTGATTAGGCAATTAAACAACCATTACTTAGGTATTTACAGTCATTTTGATTGATTTATGATGAATGTAATTTAGCCCATATTACACAGAATTGAATTCCGGTCCCTTACAAATATCGTGGCACCTTAGAATGACAGTTCTCGATAAAAATAACGATAGTCTTCAGTACCTAAGCTGTTGAATAAGGCATTAGCTATTTTTATTAAGCAAAAAGGAGGAATGATTCCCGTATCCTGTCTATAAATAGGGTGCATTTATTTTTATGGATCTGGTTTCACCTCGGTTAGTTTTTCTCATTGTAAAGTTATTTATAAAATAAAAGGCGCAGCGCAGAAAAACTTATTTTCCGCTTTTCGTTTTAGTATTTAGTCTACATTGTGTTTCATAGCCGAAGAATTATGTATTATGTTTCGACATGTGTAAGGAAAACATAATTTTCCTATACAAACTCTTTTTATATTTGATTTTTCTTCTTTGCCGTCTGATCGACGATGTTTAATTTGTGACTTGACATAATAGATGTAAGATGTTTTAATTTTTTCATTATATTATTTTATTTTATAAAACCTAGAATATAGGCTTTAAATGTTGTTTCTTTTGTATTCACAGAGAAACGCAGTTGCGCCTTATTTATTCCCAGTACTCGTATAAGCGATTGATATCATTATATATGTATGTGATACTAAGTTCACGGAGTCGTCTACAAAAAATATTTTAATAAAAATAAGACAATTTTAAAAAACGTGTGTGATGTACACGCGTTAGAAGTTATACTTTGGCGTAACAAGATAAAAATCTTTTCAAAAATGTTATTCTAGGTTTGTAGACACAACAACAGAAAACACTAAAATGTTGACTATAGCTAACTTCAGGGTGTCGGTTTTTTGTGACGGTGTGCGCGCATCGTAAAAATTTACTCTCATAATTTTTCCCTAACGCGCCAAGAGCAGTATAACTTCAAAAACGTCTTCAGAAATCGTAGTCATCAAAAGACTGTTATTAAGTTGCGAGACAATGTTATCATAATAAAACGTCGTCAAATTCTTTAACTATTACGTATCGGGTTTAAAAACATCAGTTAAACTGCCGGTTAACTTTATTTGAGAACAAAGGTCATAAACTATACCTAAAGTATTAAATAATATATCAACTGTTTAGTATACACAAAAAGATACTTCGATATGTTTGATTATATATATACATCGTGAGAGCAATTGATTCTTCAATTTTATTTTCAATTCATATCAAAACCGTAGAACGGAAGAGAAGAAATGTAGACTTTTCAAATAAATCAGTGGCACTACAACATTTTTACGTCTGGGCCTCAGATTACTGTATATATTTCATGATCATATTTTGTCAACCGAATATGCAAAATGGTGATCAGCCTCCTGTGCCTGACACATGTCGACCTTTTGGGTCAACATGCCGGTTTCATGTTTTCCTTTACCGTTCGAGCGAATGTTAAATGCGCACATAGAAAGTCCATTGGTGCACAGGGGATCGAACCTACGACCTATTTTTCTGGACTTTCTTTCTGAGTGTTCGTCGGCGTGTGTCAGGCACAGGAGGCTGATCACCTCCTTGCCTATTAGATTGGCAAATGATCATGAAACGGATACAGAAATCGGAGGCCCAGACTTAGAAAAGGTTGTAGCGCCACTGATTTTTTTAAATTTTATATTGCATATCCACAGGGATGAGAGTCGCACACAGAAGGCCAACACTGCAGTTTAAATAATAATA